CATAAAATGATTCGTGCCTCCTATTCAGCTAAAGGCAGAGTAATAAATACCCTCCCCCACCTGACACACGGCTTTAAGTGGGAATCTCTTGGTCTAGTTTTACAGTGGTGGTGAACTCAACCATGATATTAATTGTGTGAACAGACGTGTAAAGCGAGCCTAAAGTTCTGTGAATTAATTAAGGGGAATCAGCTCAAATGAAGGACTGTATTGTGTTTCCGGATCTCAAGAGAGCTTGCTCACCTACTTGTTCATTCTACAAATATGTCTTGCTTGCCAGGCGTTCAGCTAATGAGTACAATTACTTTTGAGCACTATGCTTTGAGAATAAAAACAAATGGTTGAGACAAGCTGGAAGCTTTTTGAAAGTGTGCAAAATAATAATTTTGATTCCCTAAAATGGCTTGCAGCTTTGGGTTTTAACCAAATTGTAAACCACTTGTTAAACTGCATTTCAGTTATGCTGTGCAATAAAACACTTGCCTTCGATGTTTTAAAACTAAAATGCTTTGTAACTGCTTTACTGCTGAAAGTCCCTCCAAACCTTACAGGTTAAAGCAATTTACAGTTCTTAGTAAACACACATCTGGGCTTACGAAACACTTCTGCCTAGCACATAAATTGTTAACGTCTCCTTACTAGTAAAATGGGAATAAAGACATTGGCACTCAAATAGTGCTTATTTTCTGTTTGAAAAACAGTGTAGGAGTATTTCAGGATCGAGCTTGTCATTATCAGAGTCCCATGGAATTACTCACCACATCCTGTTACAGCATCCTTTCATGCTCATAGTGACAACGGGCCAGTCAACAAAGTACCTTCCAAGGTCTGATCACTGGACAACTTATCACCTCCCAGGTTACCTTTAACAGTTTTCAGTTTGTGGAAGGTCCCAGTTACTGAAAACATACACCGATTTGAGCCCAAGATTCATTCATGATTAAATAAGTGGAGCAAAGCTTAGGAACAGGTGCAGATTGAAATAAGTTCTTTCCAGATCCCAGCGTTTTGTGAAGATACAAGAAGCATGTTAATAATTAGTCCAAACTTGGGGCTGGGGAGCTGGCTCAGTGGGTAAATGGGCTTAATGTTCAACACTGGTGGGCCGAGTTCTGTCCCTGGAACCCAAGTAAAGGTGGAAGGAGAGAACCCACTCCACAAAGTTGTCCTCTGCCACCCCATACACATCATTTCACACACACGATTAAAAAAAAATTTAAAGATGAATCCAGTTAAGAGCACTGTCTACTCTTGCAGAGGACTTGTGTTTGATTCCTGAGCACCCCGATGGTGTCTCACAACATCTGTAACAACAGTTCCATGGGATTGACACCCTCTTCTGACCTCTGAGGACACCTGGTACACATATGATGATGCACAAACACACATGCAGGCAAAACATTTACAAACATGAAACTAAATAAAAATTAAAAATTTAGTCTAGATTGAATACATGCTGATGGGAAGAGAGCTAACTCAGTTAATCTCACTGTGTCCCTCAGGTGAGTGTTGCATGTTGGGCATTCATTACTGACACTAGTATATTGTGTAGACTTAGATTGATGTTTTCTCTTTCATCCCCTGCTTCGCTCAGCTATCCAAAGTTCAGCAAAGCTGCAAGATAGCCTGGACCAACCTTTGAGGTGCCCACAGATGCTAGAAGAGAGCATCATGTTTCCTGGAACTGCTGTCACAGTTGGGTTGTAAGTGGCCTAATATGGGTGCTGGGAACTGATCCCTGATCCTCAGCCAGAATGATGGGCACTGTTAACTGCTGGGAGAGAGTCTAAGTCATTATTTGTGCTGTAACTCCAAAGCCAATGTGTGATTGGCTATTTCCAAACTGACCTTGGATTCTGAGTAAGGAGCATATGCAAAAAAATATTCTCTCCTCAAATTCTCCCTTGTGCGGCTGCTCCTTTATTCATGGGTAAGTCTAGCACCTGGATCTTGCATTGTTTTTGCTGCTTGATCCTGCACCATCGGGCTGCACAATAGCACCTGGTTCTGAGTGCCCACTTGATTTTTTGTCTTTCCCCAACTTGTCTGATCTCAGCTATTGAATTCAGGGATACCTGACCACATCCCAGTATCTGATTCCAGCATCCAGGTATGCTCTGTTCTGCACTTCTCATCTGTCTTCAAATCATGCCACTCTTCATTGGCATTCCACTCTCTATTCCTCACTTACCTTGTCTAGCCTAGCTTCCTGGCTCATCTTTCTTATCATAGTCTTTTATTTATTTTTTGTAAGATTTATTTATTTACTATGTATACAGTGTTCTTCCTGCATGCCAGAAGAGGACATCGGAACTCATTACAGACAGTTGTGAGCCACCACGTGGTTGCTGGGAATTGAACTCAGGACCTCTGGAAGAGCAGCCAGTGCCCTTAACCTCTGAGCCATCTCTCCAGCCTTGATGTGCTTTTCTTCTGCAGTACTTGCCTGCACTAATCCAGCTCTTAAAAAGGAGAAAATTACATATGGGCTGGGGAGATGATTCAGCCAGTAAATGCTTGCTATACAAGGCTGAGGACCTGAGTTCAGTCCCTTGGAATTCATGTAAAAAAGCTGGAACTAGCATTTGTCTCAGATTAGCATTTTTCCCCCCCTGGCTTGGAGACGTATCCCCCAAGGTCCATGTATTCAAGGCAGGTCACTGGGGCTGTGTCCTTGAAGGGGTTCCAGTCTTTTCCTGTGGCTCTGGGTTACCCACCAGGTGAATGGGGGCTGTTCTGTCACAGTCTTCTGCCATGATGTGCTAAACAGTGCTTTCTTAGTATTCTGTTTCTGTGAAGAGACACCATGGCCATCACCACTCTTTTTTTTTTTTTCCTCCCTGAGACAGGGTTTTTGAGTGTAGCCTTGGCTGTCCTGGAACATACTCTGTAGACCAGGCTAGTCTCGAACTCACAGAGATCTGCCTGCCTCTGCAACTCTTATAAAAGAAAGCATTTAAATGGGCTGGTTTACAGTTTCAGAGGTTTAGTCCATTGTCATGGCAGGCAGCATGGTGGCACACAGGCAGACATGGTGCTGAAAAAGTAGCTGAGAAATCCATAGGAAAAGAGATACTAGGCTTGGAATGGGCTTTTTGAATCTTTTTGTTGTTGTTTTTTGTTTGTTTTCAAGACAGGGTTTCTTTGTGTAGCCTTGGCTGTCCTGGAACTCACTTTGTAGGGCAGGCTAGCCTTGAACTCACATTGACCTATCAGCCTGTGTATGCCTTACCAGTGCTGGGATTAAAGGATTGTCTTACCAGGCCTGGCTGACAATGGGTTTTTTGAAAACTCAAAGTCCACTCCTAGTAACACACTTTCTCAAACAAGGCCACAACTTGTACTCCTTTCAAATAGTGCTACTCTCTGGTGACCAAGTATTTGAATCTATGAGTCTTTGGGAGCCATTCTCATTCAAGCCTCCATAGGCCAAAAACTAACAACAACAAAAACCTCAACAGGTCAAAAACTAACAAAAAAACAACCACCTCCACAGGTATCGGCAGCTCAAAGCAATAAATAGGACCAGGTTATCAGAGACCAAAACCAATGAAGCTCCCAGCTGAGATAAACCTTTCCCCAGGATAGGTTGGTTATCTCAGGTGTTTTGTTATAGTAGTGAAAAGCTAATTACATTATTTTTCTCATCACTCACCAAATACCTGACAGAAAGCAACTTTAGGGGAGACATTCATTTTGACTCAGTTTGAGAGAATACAATCCATGACAGGAAAGGCATGGTGGCAGGAGATTCTGTGATGGCAGAAATGTGGCAGGCAGCTGCTTGCTCAGAGCTCAGTGGACTAGGAGATAGGAGGAGCAGCTCACTTTTTCCCACAAGGTGCCACCTCCTAAACATTCCACCACCTCCTGAAACACCATCACCAGCTGGGGACCGGATGTTCAAAGACATGAGCCAGTGGGGAGCATATCACATTCAGACAATAACACTGACTAACACAGCATTCAATACAAATAGCCTATTAACTTTTCTACCTCTATTCCCTTTTAGTTTTGGTTGTGAGCCTAACCTTCAACGGCTGAGCCCCTCTACTCCCTTTTCTAAGGTCACTAATTTATTTATGTATGTTCTCATCAAATCTCTTCATTTTTTTCATAGACACATATGAGAGCAATTGCCACCACCAGATGAACACTGACCCACTTGCACTCTAAGTCACACAGGCTGGATCTTCTGTGGTGCATGTAATGAGCCTTCACGACCCCAGGTATTAACTAGCTACCACCTCTTTTCTGCTTTGACAGCAAAGTGCTCTGGCTTCTTTTTGTTCTCTGGTGCTAATATTTTCACTTCCTGTTTGCTCAGCATACTCCAGCTGAGGACCTTTCCCTGGTAGTTCATTGCAATGACTTTGACAAGGTCACAAGAGGATATATTATAATAATAATGTGTAATATGTAGTTATTGCCAAAGTCAAATAAATGAGATTTGTGTGTGTGTGTAAAACATTGGCTGCTCCTTTATTCCTTTGGTTGGATTGAGCTTTTCCTGCCCTTTCTGTCTCAACATGTCTATACCCTCATGACTATTTTATTTTTTGAGAACTTGTCTATATCATCCTCCCCACCCCCATCCCATGTCCCTCTCTCAAATCCATGATCTCTTTATTATTGCTATACTTATACACTTATGTGTTATGCACATATATACACAGATGTATTTATAACCTACTGAGTCAATTTCGTTTTGCTTATATGTGCATGTCCATCCAGGGCTCACTCCTGGGATTGGTCAACCTATGCAGGAGAGCTCATCCCTGGAGGAGACTGATTCTCCCTCTCGGCAGGCACTGACCTGTGGAGAGCTGCGATGTGCCGCGCCAGAAGATGGCGCCGGTTTCCACCTTCCACCATCCCCAGGATGAGCACTCTCTGGAATAAACAACTCCTTATTTGGCTTGGTCTAAGATTCAAACTTGCATCAGCAAATGCGAGCCTATCCGCCTTAGCCACATGGCGTTCTGGGGTTGGCTGGCAAGAGTGCTTTTAAGTTGTGGGGGCCTTTCCCTGGAGTCAGAAGATTGTTTCAGTTTCCTGAGTAAATTGCTTAAGGAAGAGTCTCAGCGTTGTGTCTTCCTTGCTGGTCGAGGCGGTTGCCACAAGTGGTGGCACGTATGGGGAATTCCTCCTCTGAAGAGACTCAGAACCTTCTGCAGCCAGGGCATTGCACTGGTAAGTCCCAGGTAAGAGGGATAAAGTTAAGGGCCCGTGAAGAGGGCAGAAAATCTACGGACGGTGATAAAGTTTTCCTTTCTCTGTAGGTAAAGAGAAAGGGAGAAAAAAAAAATCTACGGACCTTGACTAGAGCGGTGATAAAGTTTTCCTTTCTCTGTAGATAAAGAGAAAAGGGGGGGGGGATTTTGTGCTGTGCTAAATATGGGCACGTCGATCTCGCACCCAATTTTTGTGGCCCTAAATGAGTTGCTTCGCTCGAAGGGCTTAAAACTAAAACGAAGCACCCTAGATAATTTTTTAGAGCAGGTGGACATAATAGCACCCTGGTTTGCAAGCACTGGACAGCTTACAGTCCCTTCATGGGAAAAATTGGGAAGGGGCCTAGATTTTGCTTGGGAACAGGGGACGCTGAAGCTGGGTGTCTATCTGGAGATTAGTGAGAGGCTGCCTGGAGGACAAGAGATACAGTGAGGCAGTTGAACAGGGACAGGCCGCTCTTGACTCCCTTCAGGAGGAGCGATCCGAGAAAGCTAACAGTGAGAAAATCTACCCGAGTCGTAAGGAATTGGAGGAGACAGAGTCCTCCAGTTCCGAGGGGGGGACACAGAGGATGAAGAGGAACTCCAAGCACTGATAAAGCAGCTAGAGAGAACCAAAGTAAAAAGGATATAAGGGAAACGGGAGAAGCCCGAGTTCAAAAGGTCCCTCGCACTTGAAAATGAAAGGGAAACCCCAGCTGAAACCCCATCCGCACCTCCTTACAATATGACGGAAGGAGATGGTGGAGGCAGTGGTGAAGGAGCCTCACACTGCCCTCAGGTCTGGCAGGAAGTTCGCTCAGAGTTGCGCCTCGCTTGCCCGGTATTCTTAGACCCACAGGGGCAGAGGTATCACGAGCCTTTGGACTTTAAAACTATCAAGGCTCTAGCAGAGTCTGTGAGGACTTATGGCATTACTGCATCCTTCACTGTGGCTCTGGTTGAGTCCCTTGCCAGGCTTTGTATGATGCCCACCAACTGGACCAACTTAGTCCATGCCTGTCTCAGCCCAGGACAGTACCTGGAATGGAAGGTGTTCCTTAGTTTGCAGACGAGCAAGTGGCAGCAAACCAGGTTGCCCGGGGGTCCAGCAGCAGCCTGGGACAAAGATATGCTGCTCGGCCAAGGGCGTTTTGTTAATCAACAAACAGGATACCCGATTCAGTTGTATGATCAGATTAATCAGATTGCCATTAGAGCCTGGAAATCTATACCTAATAAGGGTGGTGAGGTCTCGGGCAACCTTACAAAAATAATACAAGGACCCATGGAGCCTTTCGTTGATTTTGTTGCTCGCATGGTTGAGGCTTCTGGGAGGGTGTTTGGGAATTCCGACGCTGCCATGCCGCTGATAAAGCAGCTGGTATATGCACAGTGTACCAAAGAGTGTAAAACTGCCATCACCCCTTATAAAAACAAAGGGATAGAGACATGGATGAAGGTCTGCAGGGAACTCAGCGGACTGCTAACGCTGGCCTTGCAGCTTCTGTAGTTCAGCTGACCCAGAACAAAAGGGGAAGTCCTGGTGCTTGCTTTAGATGTGGCAAGACAGGACATAT